GTGTGTGTGTGTGTGTGTGTGTGTGTGTGTGTGTGTGTGTGTGTGTGTGTGTCGGCGGGGGGAGGAGAGGGGGGGAGAATAAGCATCGAGAAATAGTTTTACTTTGTGTAATGGCCCATTTTTTTCTCTCCTGCTGATTGTTTCATGTTCTCTATGTGTGTGTGTGTATATATATATATTTCTTCCTACTGTATTTTCCACTACATGCATCCAATGAAGTAGGCTGTAGCCCACGAAAGCTTATGCTCAAATAAATTTGTTAGTCTCTAAGGTGCCACAAGTACTCCTGTTCTTTTTGTGGATACAGACTAACACGGCTGCTACTCTGAAACCTATTAAATTATAGATACTCATTTAACATTTAAAATTGCTGTCAAAGTACAGAACTTGTTAAATTAGTGAAACCGAATTAATAATAGTTACTAATAGAGCGGAAACATTAGGAGGGATTTTGCTTAATTGTAAAGAGTTCAAGTGAAATCAGAAGGTGGTAAGTTCTAACAGTGATTGAACAAAAGGAGTGTAAGCAGCGCTTACTCAGCAAATATTTATACTGATATATCTGTATATAACTTCAATTCATAAAATCAGGGAGCCAAATCAGTTTTTTAATATCAAATGTAAACTTAATATTCAACACTATTGGTAAACGCATTATGTTTTGCAGACGGTGGACATCCATAAAGAGAAAGTTGCTAGAAGAGAAATTGGCATTTTGACTACGAACAAAAACACCTCAAGAACCCACAAAATCATTGCACCAGCCAACCTGGAGCGACCAGTTCGCTACATTAGAAAACCTATTGATTACACAATTCTAGATGATATTGGACATGGAGTGAAGGTAGGTGATGTTATAAAACACTCTTAAATTACTGTATGGTTTCAAAATGTAAAGACCTGGAATAGTGACTTATTCCTGTCTTCCTCGTTGCAGCGTGGGTTTTCTCAATTTGTTTAGTCCAGAGGAATCCCCTGGTCCTGTTTAACCTTGCAGACCATTTTACCCCTGATTCTGGGTATGCGTATGACCATGGAACTCCTCTGGGGCAGGGATAAACCTGCTTACTTGATAGAGGCTAATGCCATTGCCCTTGTTTGAATCCGTTGTCAGGAGGTACCTGAATAATGAGAGGCTATTAACCCTCTGTCCCTTCCCTGCCTGAGTTACTGCCACAAAATGCATTTGTTGACCCAGGTGTAATACCAATAGTGCTACTCTGTGGCTCACTAGCAGGAGGTATTTGTGTAAAAGGCGGCATTTGGTGGGCTTTAGTTTTAGTGGTTGTTGAAGGGAATTGTAACATGAATGATGTCTAATGGGTTTTCTGAACCTGAAGACTGCCACAAAAACTTGGGCCAGCCAGTTATGCCTTTTTAGGAATTTTTTTAAACACAGATTTGGGATGAACAGTACAATTTTTAGGGCCTGAGTTTACATGTAGTTACTAGAACTGCACAAGCTAATTAGGCACTAACTGCAAATTTGGCTAGATCCAGAACTGCCTGCTTTTTTGCAGATACCTGGTTGGTGTACACAGTAATGCCATATGCAAATTAGACATGCATTTTAAAAAATCACATCTAATGTAAATAAAATCTTAGCAGATGTGACTTTATCATTTTTGTGCTATTAGGAAACCATTTGAATTTAAAAGAGGATTGTCAACATTACTTTCTGAAAGAAGAAATGTAAATAACATGAAGCAGTATTATTTCCAAAACACATACATTAACAAATCCACAAAACTTTCAAAGTAGTGGTGCAGTAACATTGCTTTGATTGCAAAATTTCTTGTGCTTGACATGAATTTCATTATTTCACACTGTCTGAATTACATTTTATAAAGTTAAGTGACTAATGCAAGTAGACAAATCAGCTTTGAATTTAAAATTGAAATTCAAAGCGTTCTTCTTTAAAGATATTTTCAACAAAGCAATATTTTATTCAAGAGCTTTTGAACATTGTTTTTATGACAAAGTCATATCTTATTCTTCATTGGAAATGTTTGCTACTCAATTTGTGTACATAATCCGGTAAAAAAAAAATGATGTTTTTCAGCACATGTTTGCAGAAATATTTCATATCTTGAAAGCTCTTTAAGAAATCAGCTGCCTCATATTAGAATCTGCTGTCTGCTTCTATAAAAGAATTTGTGCATATCAGCAGAATTCCTTATGGTGAATCAATGAATATATTAACATGTGGAGCATAAAAGTGCTTTTTTATGATAACTTTGATTTAATGAGATTCTTCCAGGACAGATTAAGGAAAAATTATTTATCTCTGCTACAGCACAATTTAATTTAGACTCAGCTGTACACCCATTGTAATTAGAAATCCCGTTAACTTCAGTGCAACAAGATCAAGCCCAAAGTGATATGATAAACTATGTTCTTGCGAAAGAATCTGACATCAGAGCTGCCCAAATGAATGGATTATCACATTTTCAGACCCTGTGACCAGGTCCTGTGACAGTTGCTTAAAAGCAAAGTTTGCTCCAAAGAACCTCTAAATTGTGCTGCATTTTTATTTAGGACATGAAACTCTGTAAACATTGTGTAGTTTGTCAAATGATCATCAGTGTGCACTGCTACTTGAAATAATAGTTTCTCTTTTGTCTATGAGGTCCACAGATCTGTTAACTAATGGGTTCTCATCCTTTATGCAACTCTATAGACAGAACTAGTCACCTCACACTGAAGAGTTCACTATTTTTTGTGTGTCTGTGTGGTTTGTTTGTTCTGCCTCCATAGCTGCAAGGAGGTTTATTGGGCTCTCTGCTACAGAGCAAAAACATTATTTAAAGGAAAGATTTTGGCTATAAACTTACCTCTATAGTTGTGTTTCGTGCTGTAATGCAAGCCAACTAGCTCATTCCCATACTCCCCTTTTCTCCTTCTCATAAAAGGGCTCCTATGGGAACTCGGGAGATGTTGAGCATGACTCCCTCCAGGGGTTTCCCCAGCCACCTGATACCAGTTTGTGCAGGAGGTGCCTCAATCTGTGTTCCTAGCCCCTACCCATTGGACATCCCTTCCAGCTCTGTCCCAGGGTATTCGCTTCCTCTCCAGGGGCAGAATTTTATTCCTCTAGGAAGTTTTCAGTCACCAGCAGCCTCAGTTGAGGACAAGGGTTGGAAGAGTGTTGAATCCTGGGATTTAGCATAATTGACCTGACTCTGGTATAGCAATTTTTCTTCAAAGGTGGTGTCCCCCCCCCACCCTCCCAGTGCAGACTATCTAAGCCTCACTCTCATGAGCTGCAGAAAAGGTGTTCAGTGTCTGATCAAGTGCTTTACAGTTTCAACTTCAAAATGTCCAGTGGCTGCACAATCCAGCATACAGATAGGATGAGGATATCTTTATGCTGGGATGTTAAGTGATTTCTTATAGCTACATCTTTAGTTCATCTTCCTAAGATTTATTGAGCACTGCCATGGGACCTAAAGTTGGTCCTTAACATCTTGACTCTTTATCTTATTGAGCCCAACAGGAAGGCATCCATATATTTCCTCTCCATCAAAGTGGCAATCCTGGTAGCCATTACTCCCCCAGAAGGTGGAAGAGCTTAGAGCCTTATCTATTGAGGGATAATACTACATATTCCACAATGATATGGAGTATGACGAGTGGCGAGTATGATTTTTTTTTGGGGGGCTCTGTGAAAAGTTCTCTCCCAAGAAAGAAGTTGTGGCATATATTGGATGTTGGTAGAGCCTTTGAGATCTACCTCTGTCACACACAGTGCTCCATTGATTCTCTACTGTCTGATATATAAAGAAAAGAGAGTATCAAAATCCACTGTTTCAAAATGGCTGAGATGGTGAATCCATGAAGCCTAAAAGTCAGTGTCTCTTTCCAAGCAAGTGAGGTCAAAGTCCACTCACTGAGAGTGGCAGCAGCTGACCCGGCTAAGAAACTACATGTGCTATGAGATCTGCAGCACAGCCACCGGGTTATCCATTCATCCCTTTTCAAAAATGTATAAGCTGGACATTCAGGCATCAGTGGATGGTACCTTCAGTTAGAGAATGTTTCATGCTGTGGTCTGAGTAGTGGAGAAGGAATTTAAAATCCTATATGTAGTTAGTTCTGTTTGAACCCTCCCTGAAGCCACACTATGAAAATCCCATTGGTTAATGAAGCAATGGGCCTTGTAGATGAAAGAGAAGAGGGAAATTTTATTCTAATTTGCTAAAAATTTCCTTCCTCTGAATTACATGATCCTCAAATCTGACCCCAGTAGGATAAAAAATCCTGTTCAGTTCATTCAAATTAGCTCAAAATTATGCTCTACAGTAGGAACTCACAGTATATTCCTGTAGTGCATATAATCTCATTAAGTTTCAGACCACAGGGGATATTAACCTTTGCCATGGAAACTGTCTCAACTGGTGAGCTCTTCAGAGTAGCTTGCCATGCTCTTCCGTGGCAGTGACTGACAAGTCTGGTTCTGGTTATGTAGCTTCATGAAGCTGAGAGCCTATTGATCATTAGATCTGTGGACCTTGTAATTTAGAGGAAATTTTCAGTAAATCAGAAAAATGTATTATACCTATATAATATAGTGGGGTTTATTTGGGAACTAAACAATGGATGACCCAAAATATGGTATGTCTAGATGAGTAACAGTTGGGATTCCGAGCTGTTCAGTGTTCCCAGTATCACATAGGGTATAAGAAAATGCAGCATTCTTAAAAATTACTTAGAACTAAAAAAAACCAAATAAATAGTCAAACCAATGGACTGGTATTTCTGAACACATATAGGGCTTGTGAAACGATCTGGCATTGTGGCAGCAGGACATAAATAAAACTTAACTTTAAAAGCTAGTGCCTAAACTCCCAATTTTACTCAGCCTTTGGAGTGCAAAAAAGTTGAGATTCAGGGTTCTCCTTGCTAGGAGATCTTTCATCACTTCAGGTCGAGTGCTAGCTGACATGACAGGGCTGGCTTTTAGATTAGGTTAATACTCCAGAATGAATGTGCTTCTGCTTCAGTAAATTGGAATTATAGTAATACGCCTCTACCCCGATATAACGCGACCTGATATAACATGAATTCGGATATAATGTGGTAAAGCAGCACTCCCGGGGGGGGGGGGAGGGGGAGCTGCGCACTCCGGCGGATCAAAGCAAGTTCAATATAATGCGGTTTCACCTATAACGCGGTAAGATTTTTTGGCTCCTGAGGACAGCGTTATATCGGGGTAGAGGTGTACATGTAAAACAAAGTTTACTCTCATCCAAATTCTCATAATCAATGAGGATGCTTTTTGCCACCTAGTATAAATTCACTTGTAAAGTTAATCCACTTAGAACCCAACACTGTCACTGTGGGGAAAATGTTGACCCTTGGAATATTAGCATTGGGAAAACTTGAGTGACTGCGCTGTCTCATGAGTAGTTGGTTATTTAGTTACCTACTTAAATTTAAGACCTATCTGGAGGCTGTTTGATTAATCAGTGTGTCTATTAAAAGTTTCATCTTGAAAATCTTTTGTTCATGGCACATTCTGCTTTAACCACTCTTTCTATGATCTATTGATACATTATTTTGTTGATGCTGAATGCTTAACTTTTTCTTTATTTCCTTTCTCTTCATATCCTGAAGTTCCAACTAACCTTTCAATGCTTTTTTCCCTTACCTCTTTTATTTGCTCCATGTATGCATTAAGTGGTTGCTTAGATTTAAGGTAAGAAACCCCAGGGCTGGATTTCCATTCTTATTCTTTAGAGACTATTACACATGGGGAGAGATTTGAAATTAGCATGTCACTAATAATAATTTTTTAAAAGAATAAACTATTCCTTCTCCCTCCTTATGTATTCTACCTTCAGTCTCAGTGTGATTTCAGTGTGGATAGACATTTTGCAATATAAATGGATGGATTTAATGTAACTAATATTTGCAGTTAATTATAAAAGCTTACTGTGAAATGTTGACTCATTTTAGTAGAGCTAGTTTTCACCTAACAAGGGAGAAATAGTATATTTACACTGAGTAGGAATAAATGGCATATAAATGAGTAATTAGCCGAATTTAAACCTCCCCCTGTGTAATACTCTTTTTATCCTATATACGGTGTGATTTATGATTCACTTTGTGACCAGTATTTCAATGTAAAATTACTCAGATAAAGGGACACCAAGGTTGTGTTGCAAAATCAAAAATATTTTTTATATTAAATTTTGCATTTTTTTTAAAGTTGCAGTATCACACATTAGTTACTTTAAATAAATGTCAGTTACTCTTTATGTAAAATACTATATGTATAAAGGCAAACTTTTACAGATATTTTCTCAGACTTGGTAATATCACTATGCAAAATGTTGAACCACTCTTAAAAATATCAGATTGCTTTTAGTATGTCACTAACTTAGCAGTATTATGTTAACTCATCAATGTACTTAGGCCACAATCCTGAAAACTGTCATATATGAGTACTCCCAGGTGAGCCTAAGGCCAGCTCTACACTACAAACTTACCTTGGTATAACTGTGTTGCTCAGGGGTGTGAAAAATCCACACCCCCGGGTGATGCAGTTGTGCCAACCTAACCTCCAGTGCAGACAGCACTATGTTAACATATCTACTGCCTCTCGCAGAGGTGGATTAATTACACCGACAGGAGAAGCTCTCCCTTAGGCATAGTACAGTAGCCCTATCAAAGGAGGAAATTAGATTGGTGGTTTGCATGATTTATTCTTGAGAAATCTATGCAGGCTATTACTTATTACCTTATCTTCTAGATGCTTATAAATTGATTGCTTAATTTGTTGCAGTATCTTTCCAGGTATCCAGACTGACAGTACAGCATTTGTAATGCAGTAGTAATGCATTTTTAATACTGAATTTCCCAAAGAGAGTTTCTGTAAAAATCCTATTCTTGGTGTGGTAACTTTGAGTGATTTGGAAAAGCAGCTGGCAGATTCTCAAAGTTTTCATTGCTTTCTCCAAGTTATGCAGAAGTAATGATCTAAAAGTATTGTATGTTCACTTCATTATAGATAAGAGCTGGCAGGTTCTCTTCCCCTTTGCAGTGATGGTAAGAGCCTCTTTTCTGCCTTTCAGAGTAAGAAATTCTTCTATCTATAGAACTTGAATGATTCTAGTGTAGGTCAAGTTAGAATTTTAAAGTTGCTTGTCAAAGAACATCCTTGATTTCAAGTTTGATTAGGCCAATCAGGAAATGTGTGTCAGACAATCTTTTGTTGCCGGATTTGTGGGGTTTTCTTTATTTATATATATATAAAAAAAAGTTGTGCTGTATGTTGCACTTTCAGGTTTAAATAGTTCATTTGATCTGATTTGCACTTAAAAATCCTAGGTGCACAGACTGGCACATGTGACTTGAAGCTGCAAGTGAAAAATGGCCTCCATAGTCATATAAATACAATTGAATTGCAGTTATGACCCATTTTTGAGGAGATTACATATATAATACTTACCGCATATGCTCGTTCAGAAGCAGAATATTTTTGGTAAAAAAGTGACACATCAAAGAGCAGGGGTCGGCTTATAAACTGATCTACACCAAAATTTGATGATTTTAAACTCTATGGAAGCATTGAATTAAATATCTAATACATTGTCATTTTGTTTACCTGGAGCGTCTGCAGGCATGGAGCCCCTCGGCTCCCTGTGGCCGCAGTTTGCCGTTCCCAGCCAATGGGAGCTGCGGGAAGTGGCGCGGGGCCTGCATCCGGCCCTTTGGACATTTTAATCTGGCCCTCGAGCTCCTGTCAGGGAGCAGGGTCCGGGGCTTGCCCTGCTCCAACCAGGGAGCGGGGTTGGGGGCTTACCCCACTCTGTGCGTGCCGTGGCTCCCGGAAGCAGCAGCATGTCCCCCCTCCGGCTCTTACGCATAGGACGCTGCCCCCGCCCCAACCGCTGTCCCAACTGCTACCCCCGCAGCTCCCATTGGCCGGGAACCGCAGCCATTGGGAGCTGCAGGGGCAATGCCTGCGGATGGGGCAGCGCAGAGCTGCCTGGCCATGTCGCTGCGTAGGAGCTGGAGGGGGGACATGCTGCTGTTTCTGGGAGCTGTTTGAGGTAAGTGCCAGCAGGAGCCTGAACCCCTGACCCCCTCCCGTGCTCCTGCCCCAACCTGGATCCCCCCATCCACTCCTCTGTCCCAGCCTGGAGTACCCTCCTGCACTTCCCACCCCTACCCCAGAGCCCACACCACTTGCTGGAGCCCTCCCCCTCTCCCCCTCACCCGAACTCCCTGCCCCTTCCTCAGTCCAGATCCCCCTCCACACCCAGTGGGTTAGGTCTGACTTCTTCTCTGGAAAGTGCCTCCACTTGAGATCTGATCCTGAAGAGTATTCTGTATTTAAAGAAATGTTTTCTATTGATGTGTTCACTGCTATTTGCAGCTAAAGGGTCATGGGGTTTAAAGTAGATCCTGTTGTTAATGCTTCAGATCTATAGACAGTAGTTGCCAAAATGCCATGTGAATGAATACACAATACACCTGTGCAAATGCAGGGGCTCGTAGCATGTCTGGTGATTAAGTGTTAGTAAGACTATACAATACATCTATGTATCTATAAAATATTTGTTCAAGGGACTACTCTTTTACCCATGAAATCGTTCCTGAAGGTTGAATAGTTCAATCAGAGCAATTCTGCAGTTCATTCAAGGCTGCTGCCATGTTAAAAAAAAAAAAAAATCACTCTAATTGTAGTAGTTTCATATCAGCTATAAGTCAGTTGCTGCGTAATAGATTTACACTGCCATGCAGTGGGAGACTGAAGGACTCAATCTATTTCACGTATCAAAGTGAAGATTGAGATGGCTTGATTATGGTCTATAAGACTACAGGGAGAAGATTTCTGATAGCACAGAGCTCTTTTAATCTAGCAAAGACCTAACCAGATCTAGTGGCAGGAAGCTGAGGTAAAGCACCTGGAAATATAGAAACCCGGAAAAACTGATTTTTAAGGGTGAGGGTAATTAACCATTGGGATGTGATGGATTCTTTCACTTGAAAAGTCTTAAAATTGGATGCTTTGTAAAAGATACGGCGTTAGCATGGAATTGTTCGTTGAGCTTTCCTAGGCTCTTTCCTGCTGAAAAAGCTTATGGTGTGAGAGGGAGGCATGGTTAAAAATTGAAAAAAGCTGGTTTTGGGGAGGTTTGGGAGATAAAAAATAAGGGCTGGTAGGCTTGGCGATTGTTTTCAAGATGGCCTGCAAAGGAAAAAATGAGTGTTCACCTATTCTTTTTCTTTTTTGTGATTCATAAAGAAGGCAGCCTGAACTTATGAAAGGAGTTTCCTGCCCCTCCTTTTTTTATTTTGCATTAGAAAAACAGGGGAAAAACCTTTGAAAACACACCTTTTGAGCTGCCTTTATACTTCATAAAACAAATATGTGCAAGTAATTTTATTTCCTGTGCAGTTCACTTTTAAATATTTGCAGTTTTGTGTGTTCTTCACCTTGCCTTCCACCAGTTTCGGGGCCTCTAGTGATAAGTGTTGCACGATCTCCAGACTTGTTCTGACCATGAATTAAATCCATGCTGTCCTTGAATCAAGGACTTAGATTCAGTTATCTCGTCAGTATCTCCTGTCATTTTTTCTTAGTCACAAGTAGATCCAGGAATCAAACACCTTAGAAGTATTTGTGGTTATTGTAGTTCACGGGGCACTAGAAGACAATGCAGCATGCTACTTTTCAAAATCTTTTCAAGTGCCTAATATAGAAAGAATTAAGTTGCTTCCTTTTTTGCAATGAGAGTGGGGAGTTACAGCCTAATACATCACTGAACAGTCTGACAGTACTTACATCCATTTATTCATTCCTGAAATAGTCTGGGTGGGAAACCTAAACTCCTCTTTATACGGTGTAATTAGAGTGCAACAATTTGGTCTGCTCTTCAATTACTTGGCGCATGAACACCTTACATTTTAGGAGGAACTTAATTAGGAAATAAAATCAGAACCTCTTAGCAAGCAGAGTTATTCTAGAAATTAAGTATACTGGACAAACGTAAAAATCTGGCAGTGAATGCAGGAGTAACGTTCCATTCACTTGCTGCTTATTTAAAAAAAAAAATTCTTTAGGGTCACTCCTTTAAATTTCCAGAGTTGGGGATTAGTGTAGGAAGATATCTGTGTATGACATGCATGTGTGTGCACGCATAGAAAGGGTATACAAAGTGGATCTAACTGCAGATGTGTGAACATTTTCCCAGTAATGGGGGAATGAATATTTTCCCCTCTATTTCTGGTACTAGAAATCCTTACATAGACGGTGAAGAGGGACTTGAAAATTGCATCTTTCTTGGGTTGGGGGGTTAGAGATGAACTGACTTGCATCTCAGCTAAAGTTACTGATGTAATTTCCTACTTTATCCTAACACTATCTCTCTCTCCATTTCTCCTCATCCAAGATAATCGGAAAGCTTTCTCTGTATGTTGTATGGTATTGTTCTAGCAGTAAATGTCAGTCAATGTTAATCAGAACTGTTGAAATAGCTGTATATTTCTCATTGCTTTTCTTGAATATTTGGCCTTAAGTCAAAGTGGAGACTGTTCAAACAGAGCTGTGTAACTGACAATAGCTAAACTTAAATCAGTCAACCCTTTCAGATTTGTAAAATAGCTCTGTGAAACTTTGATTACTTGCTCTCTTTCAACATTACAACTTCAAAGTCATCACATGGGGGAGTCTAAATTTAATCATGCATTACCCTCCTTTAATTTTAGTCTTTTTAAAGAATGTCTCCTTTCTTTTTCACTGTTTAAATTCCTAGTTAACAAAGAGATTCTTGTACTGTTTTTAGTTATGTTTTCTAAAGCTGTTTCTTGTCCATCTTATGTAAAAGATATTGGCAATCACTGGAGTTCTACATTGGTGAGGCAAACCACAAGCATGACTTCCAATTTTCTGCTACACTGTTCACTTTACTTTACTTTATCTTCCAACTATTCCCACTCCAACTCTCTGGGGCTGGGACTATAATCTCTGTTTGTTTGTACAACTCCGAGTATCATGGGAACCGAATACATTATTGCAGTTCCGATTATTATTGTAGTAGTATTACTAATAACAGTAATGTAGTTTCTTCTTTAAACTTTGAGGGGTATGTTAAAGTAGATTTAATCATATAGTTTAAGTGTAATCCTATAGGTAGTGGTTATGATGCAGTTTGTGTCCCCGAGTGATAGACACTTATGGGAGGTTTGAAATATCTAGGATGGAATTTTCGAAAGTGCTCCCACTGGTCTAACTCTGTTCCCATCTGAAGACTTTTGAAAATCCTACTCGTAGATCTTAATGCGCCATTGACGTCCTCTGCATAAGAAGTGACCTAGGAGTTAACATTAATAAAGGTTGTTTGTTTTAAACAGCTCGGACAGGTAAGTGGGTGATACCGACAAGTTTTGATGAAAGGAGATGAAGGAGATTCTGCAACTTTAAAAAAAACAACCAGCTTTTGGGATGTATTTTCCATGTTCCGTGTATGGAATAAAATGCACTTTCCTTTCATTATACACTTTCCCTCTCCCCCTCAAATTGATGTAGTTCAGTGCTTACCTAGCCCTTCACTTAAAGTAACTTTAGTTTTCATGTTGCTTAAAGTTGGCTTAAAGGACTTTATGATACTATTTGCAAGATATGTTTGTAAAACTAATCAGAACATTTGAGACTTTTACTGTCTCAAAAATTCTAAAAATCTCAATAGTCGCTTCTCTAAACTTTTTCCCTCCCTTCCTGGCAAGCTAAAAGCAGCATAGCTTTGAGATTTCCATCTTCTGTTTTCACCTTTTATATAGGAGTCAAGTTTCAGTGTGTCAGGATATTGCTATATATTAATCCTTAAATAATCTCTGTCATTTAAACGGCAACACAAATAAACACTGCTTGGCTTTTGGAGCGATTAAAAGGGTGTAATTTGCCTCTCAGAATATTTCTAAACATCACTAACAACTTGATCACGGAGCCTTTTCTATAAATAGGGGGACTTACTTTCTGGAAATATGTCATGTTGTTTGGAAACAATACATGTTGGAAATGATATACATTGTAGCTGTGTGCAATAGAGCATGGCATGGGTATCAGAAAAGGAGAGTGTAAAGAGTATTTAATAACGGGAAATAACCAACATAAAAACAATTAAAACCCTAAATTATTTAGCACGAATCATTTGACATTATTTATATGATGGGGAATAGATTTAGGGCTCACAGATTAAAAAGATATTTTATAGATCCTCCCTAAATATATGTGTATAAATTCTCTACCTGCTGTATCTACCTTTTGTATGCAGCCAAAGAGAGCTATTAATTGGCTTGGTGAATACATCAAAAACAAAATGTTTTGATGTTTATAATTCATGATGTAAGTAGTAATTATGTTGTCAATCAGCACTGAGATCAGTCAACATTGATGCTGATGACTTAAATAGTGAAATATTAACTTGAATTTGTGGTTTCTGGTTATCTCACTATTTTCTAAGGAAGAAAACTGGAAAGATCACATCAGTAGTATTCATGATTTCTTTTTTCCTAGTCCACAAACTAGAGATTTAGTTTAGCTTAGATGGTTATAAATTTAGTTTGGCTGCATGTTTTGTGTATGTAGTTTATGTTCATTAAATAGTTTTGGTATCTTAATGTGAAAACATTACAATATATAGCATTCTTGTTTAAAGCATTTTATATTAAATCTTAAAATGAGAGAGATTAGTTCTACTGGAGCATACCTGGAATATAAAAATAACTTTACTAAAGTGTAGCTGCTCTTTAGTTATATTAATTACTGTATTGTGGCCTAGTATGTAACCCTACTTAATCCTCTAGTTTTTTTAAAGTCCATTCTCAAAAAATATGGGGCAATTAACATTAAGCAGTGCAACCAGAAATAACTGCCTTTTATCTTAAACAAATAAACAAAACAAAAAAACCCGAAAACTACTTCCTCGCCCTGCTAAAAGAGATTTTTAATTGGATTAAATACAGATCAGCATCAGCAGAGATTTAATATTCATGTGATGGCCTAAAGGCAAATGCAGTTTCTGTATATAAATCTTTGCAAACCCCACATAACGAAGAGTCCTTTGAGTGCAACTGTTGACCTCTAGCAGAGTAGAAGTTGCATATGAAATGCATGGCCTCTCAGTTTTTTTCAGTTTAAACCTTCCCCTGCCTCTTTAGTACTATAGAATGAATTTTCAAGGAATCTTGCGATCTTATTGCCTAAAGTCTGAGTATAGTAAAGGCTGTTTTTTTCTCCGTTCTTTCATGCAGGTTAGTACACAGAATATGAAGATGGGTGGGCTGCCTCGTACTACTCCACCTACCCAGAAACCACCCAGCCCACCAATGTCAGGAAAAGGAACTATTGGGTGAGTACAATTACTGTAGACTTAATATTTTCGTAGAGAGTAGATGGGGAAGAGATATTCGTAAACATCTGAACACCTACATTTCTACCATGGCAAAAATTTTAAACATCTTCCTTATTCTTGCTTCTTGTCCACCATCTAAAGATGGGCTGTGAGACTTGGAGAAGTTTTACCACCATCCTTTGTACTGACCACATCTTAAATTGTAGGTGATGTGTTGCTGCCTGTAGATAATGAAGGTCATTAGAAGTTTTATTCAGGAAGCCTTTCTTTGATTTCTTTTGGCTTGTATTATCGGTGGTGGATAGAATTAGTGGTGTGTTTTTTCTGACAGGTTGTACCGTCTATCTGCAGTAGCTAATGTAATATCTAAACTGACATACTGTGCCACAGGTTGGGCATATATGCTGTGAACGGTAAAATGTGCTTTCCAGTGGAGCTATGAACCTGAATTCTACATTTGCTTCACCTGATAGAGTCCTTATGAATTATGTCCTGAGGAACAGCAGCCCTTCTAGTTACTGCATTGATGTGGTGTATGTTCATGGTAGCATTCTCTGAAATGCTTCCGGTTCCAGGCACAGGGCCAATTAAATAGGCAGATCTGCGGGGTCTAAATGTGTGGATGAGACGATGGTGTAGGGAGGAGGGGTTTAAATTTATTAGAAACTGGGAAAACTTTTGGGAAAGGGGGAGCCTATACAGGAAGGATGGGCTCCACCTAAACCAAAATGGAACCAGATTGCTGGCGCTTCAAATTAAAAAGGTCGTAGAGCAGTTTTTAAACTAAGGTCTGGGGGAAAGCCGACAGGTGAGAGGAGCATGTTGTTCAGTGGGGAGGATCTGTAAATGAAGATTCCCTATGTCCTAATGAGGAGAGGATGGAAGATAAAATACAGGTAGGCTCTGATGAGAAACAGTCAAATGAAAAAAAGTCCCATTCAGTTACATCATGTAATGGCAGGCAGCTAAAAAGTGACAGGTTTTTAAAGTGCTTATATAGCAATGCTAGAAGTCTAAATAATAAGGTAGGTGAACTAGAGTGCCTCGTATTAAATGAGTATATTGATATAATAGGCATCACAGAAACTTGGTGGAATGAGAATAATCAGTGGGACACAGTAATAACAGGGTACAAAATATATTGGAAGGACAGAACTGGTCGTGCTGGTGGTGGGGTGGCACTATATGTGAAAGAAAGCGTAGAATCAAATGAAGTAAAAATCTTAAATGAACCAAACTGTACCGTAGAATCTCTATGGATGGTAATTCCATGCTTAAATAATAAGAATATAGCAGTACGGATACAGACCACTTGACCAGGATGATGATAGTGACTGTGAAATGTTCAGGGAGATTAGAGAGGCTATTAAAATAAAAAACTCAATAATAATAATGGGGGATTTCAACTATCACCTTATTGGCTGGGTACATATCACCTCAGAAAGGCATGCAGAGCTTCAGTTTCTTGACACCTTAAATGCCTGCTTCTTGGAGCAGCTAGTCCTGGAACCCACAAGAGGAGAGGCAATTCTTGGTTTAGTCCTAAGTGGAGCACAGGATCAGGTCCCGAGAGGTGAATATAGCTGGACTGCTTGGTAATAGTGACCATAATATAATAAAATTTAACATCCCTGTGGCGGGGAAAACACCACAGCAGCCCAACACTGTAACATTTAATTTCAGAAAGGGGAACTACACAAAAATTAGGAGGTTAGGTAAACAGAAATTAAAAGCTACAGCACCAAAAGTGAAATCCCTGCAAGCTTCATGGAAACTTTTTAAAGACACCATAATAGAGGTTCAACTTAAATGTATACCCCAAATTAAAAAACAGAGAGCACCAAAAAAGAGCCACCGTGGCTAAACCACAAAGTAAAAGAAGCAGAGAGAGGCAAAAAGGCATCCTTTAAAAAGTGGAAGTTAAATCCTAATGAGGAAAATAGAAAGGAGCATAAACTCTGGAAAATGAAGTATAAAAATATAATTAGGAAGGCCAAAAAAGAATTTGAAGAACAGCTAGCCAAAGACTCAAAAGGAATAAAAAAAAATTTCTAAGTACATCAGAAGCAGGAAGCCTGCTAAACAACCAGTGGGGCCACTGAATGATTGAGATGCTAAAGGAGCACTCAAGGACGATAAGGCCACTGCAGAGAAACTAAATGAATTATTTGCATTGGTCTTCACGGTGGAGGATGTGAGGGAGATTCCCAAATTTGAGCCATTCTTTTTAGGTGACAAATCTGAGGAACTGTCCCAGACTGAGATGTCATTAGAGGTTTGGAACAAATTGATAAACTAAACAGTAATAAGTCACCAGGACCAGATGGTATTCACCCAAGAGTTCTGAAGGAACTTAAAGGTGAAATTGCAGGACTACTAACTGTCGTCTGTAACCTATCATTTAAATCAGCTTCTGTACCAAATGACTGGAGGATAGCTAATGTGACGCCAATTTTTAAAAAGAGCTCCAGAGGAGACCCTAGCAATTACAGGCCAGTAAGCCTGGCTTCAGTACCGGGCAAACTGGTTGAAACTATAGCAAAGAACAAAATTGTCAGACACATAGATGAACATAATCTGTTGGGGAATAGTCAACATGGTTTTAGTAAAGGGAAATCATGCCTCACCAATCTACTAGAATTCTTTGAGGGAGTCAACAAGCATGTGGACAAGGTGGATCCAGTGGATATAGTGTATTTAGATTTTCTGAAAGCATTTGACAAGGTCCCTCACCAAAGGCTCTTAAGCAAAGTAAGCAGTTGTGGGATAAGAGGGAAGGTTCTCTCATGGATTGGTAACTGGTTAAGAGATAGGAAATAAAGGTTGGAATAAATGGAGAGAGGTAAATAGTGGTGTCCCCCAGGGGTCTGTACTGGGACCAGTCCTATTTAACATATTCAAAAATGATTTGGAAAAATGGGTAAACAGTGAGGTGGCAAAATTTGCAGATGATACAAAACTACTCAAGATAGTTAAGTCCCAGGCAGACTGCAAAGAGCTACAAAAGGATCTCTCAAAACTGGGTGACTGGGCAACAAAATGGCAGATAAAATTCAATGTTGATAAATGCAAAGTAATGCACATTGGAAAACATAATCCCAACTATACATATAAAATGTGGGGGTCTGAATTGGCTGTTACCACTCAAAAAAGGGATCTTGGAGTCATTGTGGATAGTTCTCTGAAAACATCCACTCAATGTGAGCAGCAATCAAAAAAGTGAACAGAATGTTGGGCATCATTAAGAAAGGGATCGATAATAAAACAGAAAATATCATATTGCCTCTATATAAATCCATGGTACGCCCACATCGTGAATACTGCATGCAGATGTGGTCACCCCATCTCAAAAAAGATATATTGGACTTGGAAAAGGTTCAGAAAAGGGCAACAAAAATGATTAGGGGTATGGAATGGCTGCTATATGAGGAGAGATTAATAAGACTGGGACTTCTCAGCTTGGAAAAGAGACTTAGAGGGGATATGCTTGAGGTCTATAAAATCATGACTGGTGTGGAGAAAGTAAATAAAGAAGTGTTCTTTATTACTTCTCATAACACAAGAACTAGGGGCCACCAAATGAAATTAATAGGCAGCAGGTTTAAAATAAACAAAAGGAAGTATTTTTTCACACAGTGCACAGTCAACCTGTGGAACTCCTTGCCAGAGGGTGTTGTGAAGGCCAAGACTATAACAGGGTTCAAAAAAGAACTAGATAAATTCATGGAGGATAGGTCCATCAATGGCTATTAGCCAGGATGGGCAGAGTTGGGCCTCTGTTTGCCAGAAGCTGAGAATGGGCGACTGGGGATGGATCACTTGATGATTACCTGTTCTGTTCATTCCTTCTGGGGCACCTGGCATTGGCCACTGTCGGAAGACAGAATACTGGGCTAGATGGACTTTGGTCTGACCCAGTATGGCTGTTCTTATGTTCATGTAATGGCTGGTCCTGAAACAGAGCTTATTGTGTTAAATTCAAAATAAAATATTTACATGTATGCAAACTACTCTGATTTAGTAGTGAAAGGCAAACTGACTCCTCAACTGTTCGATTCAGATCAATAAAATAAGCAAAACAGAAAATTCCTGCATAGGAAAAGGGTTTGGGAAATGGAGAGCAGAAATCCCATCCTCCACTCCCTGGTCATAAATTGGATATTGCATACGTGTGGAAAAACAATTTTTTTGAGTCCCTTAGATTTTGCTACACGTAACTATAATTTTACACTGGTAAAAGATCTGTGGCTGCGCTATAGTCTGACTAAATTTGCTTCTGTGCATATTGCTTTTTTTGTCCAGGCGTCACTCTCCCTATCGCACACTGGAGCCTGTGCGTCCTCCAGTGGTACCAAATGACTATGTACCTAGCCCAACACGTAATATGGCTCCCTCGCAACAGAGCCCTGTTAGAACAGCTTCTGTGAATCAGAGGAATCGCACATACAGGTATTCAGTCTACTCCTGCACAGAATGTGTTTGGCCTAATACAGTAATCTATACAAGATGCACTGCTGTGATTAAAATCAAACCCAGACCCTACAATAGAACCTCACTAATACACTATTGACTGGAAAACCCATTGTGCATTGACACATGGACACGATTAAAACAAGAATATTCCATCATAACATTTACTTCACTTTTTTCCCACAATTACACTTTAATTTTGTAAGACATAGTACTTCATAACGTACTAGTAAAATTGTGTAGTAGAAACAGTCATAGTAATATGGAACTTTGTAAAGATTAAATAGCGTGATGTTGCAAAGATTTGGGGAGATTATTTTGTGTGTGCGAATTATGAGGTATGCTTATTGGAGGACTACAAATTGCTTGTGCTTCGTAATCAAAGTTTTTTTTGAAAAATAAAATCTTGAGACTTTAGGATGAACAGTGCTAAACAGATCTGTAGAAAATGAAGTAATCATAACATATAAATGAGGAAACCACTAGCTTTGAATCCAGAGATGGACCACAGTTATGATATATAACAGAAGATACTGTTCCCCTCTCACTGACCACTAGAAAACTTCATCAGTCCTAGGAATTGTCAGAGGTATAAGATGCCACAAGAGAGCTCAAATTGTCTCTCTTGAAATGTTAAATTCTTCTTTAAAAACATTTAAGGAGGCTGGCAAATAGCTTTATACCATATCCATTCTAAACACGAGAAAACTTGACTTTACTGAGTTCAGGAAATGTTGATAGATTTAACCCTTCTACTCCCAACAATACTTAATGTAGAAGCATATATAGTAGAATCTTGCTAATCTACATCCTTTATATAACCTGTACAAAAATGGGCTGTCTCTCTCCACTCAGCAATGATTTATAGTATTGCAATGATGTCAAGTTAATTAGCTTTTCAAAATGCCATATATACTTGTTAGATTACTAGTGCCAAAGGAATGATCATTCTTGATCCAAACTAAATGCTTCTGTGAAAAATGTTTGTTATATCAACTTCAGTTCTTTGTTTCTGCCAGTCATTAGTGTGAAGTAGCAAGTTTCCACTACATGTTTTTTATGTATTTTCTCTATGGACCGGATTATTAATGTTTTGGTGGCTTTGGTTTCTTTAGCAGCAGTGGGAGTAGTGGAGGGAGCCACCCAAGTAGTCGGAGCAGCAGTCGAGAGAACAGTGGAAGTGGAAGTGTGGGTGTACCTATTGCTGTCCCCACTCCATCTCCTCCTAGCGTCTATCCAGGTAAATAGGAATCTCACCTTCCTCTCTTTCTGTCCAAGTCCTAATGTTGGAGTTTATTTACTGTTGTGTTTGCAAGATTCTGAGTCTCTAAGAGAATTTTTCAAGCCAACTTTTCCAGAACCATACAAACTTTAACATTGTTTTGGTGCTAAGAATTAAAATGTGGGTACACTGATATCCCCTGAGTGTGGAAATGTTTGTTATGCAGATATTTGCCTGTCTGTTTGCCTTTTATGTCAATTGGTTAATCAAAACTGTTGATTCATTTAAGCCAGTTGAGACAGGAGCTCTTTGACTAGATGTGACTAGACAGGACACAGCATTGTTCCAAGAAAACAGTGTCTCTCCGTCCTTTTAGCCAGATAAATAGTCTTTCATTTGCTTTCTGTTCATGTAGGCATCTAGAAGTTTATTAGAAGCTTAGATTTTTTTTTTTTTTAAAGGCAAGGACACAGTAAAGTAAATCTTCAGTATACACATGAAAGCAGAGCAGATTATCATGGAAAAGGCAGTCTGTCAAACAAACACTTTTGGTTCACAGAAAATAGTATTTGTACTCTCCCTTCTTTTGCTCATGTAGTGTTGAGGATTTTCTGTGTGCTTCTTTCCTTAGTCTTCAAAATGAAGGAAAAAATTATTTAGCATAAATTGTGTTCTGAAAAATTATTTTTCTGGGCCAAAAATTGCTATGGGAAACTGATGGTTTCCCTTTGCTATATGTTTAATTTTGTACAAAAGCTGCAGAGTTCTGTGCTACCGATTGGAGAGTAACTAACAAAGGGGGGAAAGCAGTCTTTCTTAAAGTAATGACTTTCATTGAGAAGTACAGACGTTAGTTTCTACATCTGTAATTGATAGCAGACTTTCTTGATCCAGGTACCCTTATTTGCTGCATATATTGGAATGTTCCTTTAACATAAGCTTCATTTTTTTTCTCATCCCCTCTTTTTGTGCTAGAACATTTAATGTTTACTGAATATCTAACACTGAATTGTCAGAAGGCTTTTCTAATCCTTGCTAACCTGATCTCCTTATTAACTTTACCTCTTCCTCCTCTTTTCACATAGCCCCCGCTGGCTCAGCTGGCACTTCTCCCCTTCCTGCTACCTCTGCACCTGCTCCTTCCCCCCTTGCTCCTGCTCCTGCCCCCTCCGCTGCCCCAGATGCTGCTGCTGCAGGAGCCCAGCCTCTTGCTGATGGCTTCACCTCTCCAACTCCCCCTGCTGTTTCTTCCACTCCCTCAGCAGGTGAGTCTCTGCTCCATTTCATAGACAGGTGAACCAAGATGTGAACACCATCTGAGGCTTTTCAGAGATCCTTAGGAGTCGTTGATCTTTATGGCTTTTTCTGGTTTGGTTTTGTTGGATATGAGTTTTGTCGGAAAACACCTGTTCTTCCAGGAGATTCAGAATATTAGTCCTGTAAACAACCACTATATTGTATGCTTGCAGCAGTATGGATAATGTAAACTCTCAAAGAAGCGTATGTAGGATAAAGGCAGCAATTCTTTTGACATCTAGTAATTGTTTTTCTTCAAATGTTGGATTCAAAATGGTGCCTCTAATGAAGTGGGTGATGTGTATGGTTTTGTGTGACCTGACTCCCATGAGTAGGGCCCTACCAAATTCGTGGCCATGAAAAATGCATCACGGACCTGAAATCTGGTCTCCCCCTCCTGAAATCTGGTCTTTTGTGTGCTTTTACCCTATAACTATACAGATTTCACGGGGAAGACCAGCGTTTCTCAAATTGGGGGTCCTGACCCAAGAGGGAGTTGCAAGGGGGTTGCAAGGTTATTTTAGGGGGTCACAGTATTGCCACCCTTACTTCTGCACTGCCTTCAGAGCTGTGTGGCCGGAGAGTGGCAGCTGTTTGCCAGGCGCCCAGCTCTGAAGGCGGTGCCCCGCCAGCAGCAGTGCAGAAGTAAGGTGGCAATACCATACCAGGCCATCCTTACTTCTGCGCTGCTGCTGGTGGTGGCTCTGCCTTCAGAGCTGGGATCCTGGCCAGCAGCTGCCGCTCTCCAGCAGCAGCAAGGGAAGCAGTACCACAACCCCCCCTACAATAACCTTGCAAACCCCCTCCCCACCCCACTCCACAACTCCGTTTTGGGTCAGGATCCCTACAATTACAACACCATGACATTTTTGATTTAAATAGCTGAAATCATGAAATTTATGATTTTTAAAATCCTATGACTATGAAATTGACCAAAATGGATCGTGAATTTGGTAGGGTAGAACCATGAGGTGTCTTGAGCCAATATCTCTCCTTTCCATTAGTTGTTGCAAAAGAGGCATACGTTTTTGATTCACTACTAGTGAAATGGAAGTTTTAATACACAAATTGAGTTGTTTTCTGCCAAAAGGCATTGTTCAGTAGGTGATCTATATTGCATGTACTCAAGCTTGCTTTCTTAACATTGATACAGCCTCTCTGCATATTCATTTCTTTAATTGCTGAAGTTTCAACATGTGTTATTTACTAAATATAATGTAAGACTAGTATGTACTGCCTTTTGTTTGATTGATTTGGATGTAGTATTGTTATGTAAAGATCTGTTTTATATATCAAAAATGGCTTACATGTATTTGCAGTAGCTGATTGTAATGGGTTCTGCTTCTGATCACAGAGCTGTATTAGTTCAGATGTTTAATAACTTTGGTCTACATTCAGGCTTATTTAGAAATTTTGTAACGTGCCAGAAAATATTCTTTAAATAGTGTTCAGTAAAAGTGTAAAATTAAACATGTATCACTATTTTCTAATCTCATCTATAAGAATTCTTATAATAACTGTAGAGGCACCTGAGCTGTGATGAATCTCAGTGGCAACAAATCATCATAATCTCTGAAGTATTTGTGCAGTTAGAAGATGAGATTGATCAGACAGAAGTTGGATTGATTTTCAGGTTTTGGTGTATGAAAAATGTTACAGGTCTCTAGGTCTTAAACTGCACTACTTGTGGATTTTCTATAAAACAATCAGAATTAAATAGAAGTGAAAAACTCAAGTCCTTTAATAAAAATGCAGATCTGATTTAAAAAAAATAATTTACTATCTTCCCTTTGTTAAGAAATAAAATAAGAGGTGCCTACTTTCTCCTTGTATGAGCCTAGTGCTCAGATGACTTCCCTGAAATAGGATGCATGAGGATAATAGTTTTGTTTTACAGGGTTGTGATTTTCCCCAGCCTGAAGAAACTCATTGTTTTTACCCTTCTAGGGATAAAAAGGCCAATAGAAAAACCACTAATTTTATGAAACAAAACCTATTCTGTGTGATTGACTTTGAGCATATTTATTCCTTAAATACAACAAGTACATTGTTATAATTCTGTAAGTAAAACAAGAATCCGATAATTCTCAGTCTACTCGTCTACTTTACATCTTTTGTATTTTCCCACAGATATAGATAACAGAGTTAGTGTTGAAAAAGTAAATAACGTGTTAGGATATTTTGGCCAATCCAGTCTCTTTTGGGACTGAGAGGGACCAGACATCAATCCAGGCTCTCCAAATCTTTCTGAACAAGTCTCTCATATTTCAAGCCGGCCAGACAGGAATGCAGATTCTTAATGGATAAAATTCAGGCCTCCTGTCTTCACTGACTCTACCTACTAGCAGCATCCCTCTCCACTGACCAGTGACTCCACCCATTCTCCTCCTCCCCTAGGCTTCTGGACAGTTCTGTAACCTTCTTACTCTTTCCTAATAGGCATAACACGAACCTTTGTGATCTCATCACTTCCCTGTTAGCTTAAAGCTTTCATTCTCAGACTGAAATTGCACCCTAATGTTTCTAATACATTAAACCTTTGCTTAAAGCTTTTTTTAATCAATCAGAGTGACAGATTCAAAAAATGAGAGAAGGACAGAAATTCACGGGGTTGAGGGGTTTTTTTGGGGGGGGCGGAGGGGAAATCTTTGGGTTTTTTTACAACCATGGGATTCACCTATAATGTTGTGGAGGGGGAACCATGCAAACTGAAAACTGTCTAGTTTACCTTAGTGTCAATAGCGTGCTTCAGAGCTTTAATTAGATGTAAACACATGGTAGCTTAACATCATGGTTTATGACTGGTTCAAGTGTGATGACAATGAGATTCAAGTTGAATTACTAGTCATGATTTCTGTGGTGTAGTTTAAAGTAAGCACACATTATTTACTAGATGCCTGAATCAGTTTGATATAGAAATTGTGTGTGTTGCAATGGTAACATTGGTTGGAATAAAGAGGTAGTATTGAAGGGTTGAATTAATTAAAATTTTTCTAATACATTGGAACATTGTGCTGGATTCCCTTTCCTCTGCCCAAGCTGTTTGTTCTTTTTCATTCCCCCAAAATGATCCTCCACACATTTCCTGAGAGCTGTGGCTGTGACACACCTCAGATGCCTGTGGTCTTTAGTCATAGAATATAACATCTTTGTGGTCCCTAGAGATGACTTCCAGTTGAATTAGCAGGTACCTTGTGAGTGATTTGGACACTTGGCTAGCTAACAATGAAATGAAGAATCTCTGTCTGATTTGTGAATGAAATTCTAGTTCAATTTGAAAACAACCTCCATTCATGAATATACATTTATTGTGAAGCATCATATAATATTACTAACTGGAAACAGTGTTCTCCAATTCTAACATTTTAAAGCTAAAGTTCCTCATTTTTGTATTTGCTTTTGCTGGTGGTGCTAAGTATAGCAGTTGAGCAAGAGTTATTTTTCCTTGTGTCAGTATTCTCCAACATTCAGAGTTCAGCTGATCTGGCAACTGAACAAAATGCTCTTAAGATGCAGACTTACTGTTCTCCCTCCCCCCCCCCCACCCCCCCCAAATTCAATCCTTGGAATAAATCTTGAATGTAGGCATAAAAAAGCCAGACTTCAATCTTTTCTCTCTGCTAACGCATCTTTCTTTCTAACCCAGGTCACCCTGTTCAATTCTACAGCATGAACAGACCTGCCTCCCGGCATACACCCCCAACAATAGGGGGCTCTTTGCCATACAGGCGCCCTCCTTCCATCACTTCGCAAACGAGCCTTCAGAACCAGATGAATGGAGGGCCTTTTTATAGCCAGAACCCAGGTAAGTGGGTTACTTCGGTATATCCAATCCAAAACACCAACGTGTTCATAACTTCAAAGCTGTGAAGTCTGTTTGAGACTGCACTGTTTCCACAGTAGATTTTGTGTGCTTCTTTAGGTGATTTCTAAAACAGTATTGGTAGCCCTGGTAGGGCTATTGGCCACATATAAGGTGTTCAGTTCCCATTAATGCAAACAGCCTAGAATAGTTTATTTTTAATTGAAGTGAGTTTGTAAAATAAGTGTCTGACTCAACAGGACAGTGTGGGGAGGCACTACACACAATCCCCATTACACTGCTCATCCAGTGGATCTCATTCTTGATCTGCAGTACCCCTGTTGTTCCAACCAATCCTGGTGTGGATTGAGTGTTTGGTCTTTCATGAACTATTTGAATCCTGGTTCCCCATTACTTCACCCTGGAGACTTGTATGTTTCTCTCCTGAATAATGGTCAGTCTAGGAGGCTGGCCTTCCTCTCGGAGTGTGTTTTATCAGGCATCTAGGGTCAGGATGCCATTGGTGCTAGATATGGTAGATAGGAGGAGCTCTGCCACAGGAATCAAGTTTCATATTATGCTAGTGTTAGTCTAACTGGTGACCCTTCTCTAAAAGTAGAAGGTTGAATTCTTATCTGCCTCAATTTTGAGGCTTAACAAGAAGTGACATGTTCTGAATCTGAGTAGGAAAGTGCTGGCCGTTCATATAACCAGACCTCTTGCCCACATTTCTGATTAGAGAAGGGAAGATGTATAGCTTTAGAACAGATTTTCCTTTATACAGAAGATGCAGAGAGATTCAATAGGAATGTTTGAAGATTATTGATTTTCAAATTTCTTATATTTAAGCTAGATATGTGCGAGTGGTGCAGTGATGCTATTCTACAGTTCTGCAGTTTTAAATTGTACACTTAACTTGAAATTATGCTCAGATTCCTCTGGCCTAGAGGATTTGATCAAACTCAAACATATCATTTTATCTCTAATTGCTAGCTAGCCTCAAAGAGACATTGATTTGAATCCAGGAGGACGAGGTGGTAGTGGTGGGTGGGGGAGTGAAGATGCATGACTAAATTATACTCTCTGCTTGAGGTATAGTATTTGTAATGTACATTTATATGCATGTTGATTGAAGGGTGAAAAAAGATATAAGGAGAAGGTAAAGGAAATAGTGTCAGATACAACTAAAAAGAAATGCCTTCTGAAGTAAAGAGGATTTTCAGTATATCCAGAGTGTTCTTGACCACTGTTCTGTATTTCTGTTTTTAATGAACTGTCCTTTGGAAGTTACCACTATTGTATTGTAAAAGATGCCAGATATTCTGTAAATAAATTATGTAACCATAATTCAGTCTGTTTACCCGAGAAGAAAGTAATGATTAAAAGGATTATTTACTTGAACTGTAAATCACAAAGAAAATACTTCTGTGACAGGGACACTTGGCACAGCATAAATAAGGAGCTGCAGCAGAAGATGTTTTCTAAATCAATGTGTGTCCAGGCAGAATGTGGAATCTTAGTTGTATTCAGAGGGGTATTAAGGCAGGATCTGTGTATCTGGACTCCCAGGAAGGGAAGGGGAGCCTTTGGACTCGCAAAGTTAGAATCCATGAGTGGGGCATATGACAAGTGGGGGCTGTGGTCTCCCTTCGCAGAAGGAGGAAGCATTGGCAGGATGGGGGACCATGGCTGCTTCTTAGCCCTACTGTAGGGTGGGGGAAAGAACAGATCTTAAAGTTTGGGGAGACCAGTGGAGGGGGGAGGTGGAGGAGAGGATTCTTGGGGTGGGGAGGTGAAGGAAAGGCCTTTGGAGATTATCAGTACTGTTTTTTTTTTCATATTGTGTGGATTTTGTGCAGGGGATATTGATGCATTTTCCCTCAGATGTATTTTATATGCTTTCGGCATGAATTGTTTTTTTTTTCTTTTTTCTTTTTGGATAGCAGTACTAAGGCTATTTAACTTTTATGCTGCAGTGGTGCGGCTGTTTTTGGAAGGCTGTGGGAATGTAAGCATGTCTTTTGTCTTTTATAAATATGTCTAAAACTGGGTTCTGAAGAACTACTACTAATTGCAAATTACTGACTGAGGATAAAGAGGATTTTATGACACACTTTCCTTGTGGGAAAGAAGGAGAACTGAGTAAAAGATGGCACCTACATTACAATCACTTCATTCATCACTGAAATGCAACTGCTTCTGGGATGCGACACCAATGCTTAGTAATACTCAGTAATATTGCCCAACAGTTATATTTAGTGAAGTATACTGTGCCCAAATGCAACTATAGGGAGGAATTCAGAACAAAATTACCTGAGTTAGAGTAAGTACAGAATGCTGGTATTAACATCCCTAGTCTTTTCATAGATTCCAAGGTCAGACAGGATCAGTGTGATTGTCACAGTTCAGGGAAATTGCACCTGTATTCCCCCTCTGTGTCCAGTGAGGGCACCCACTCTAGATGCCAGGCTCCTCAGAACAATCTATATGCCTGCTGATAAGCCTACCAGAGAACACCCCAACCCAACGAGGACTCTGGCTGTTGAGTTCTTCACACACCAGGAAGGGATTGAAGGGATTTTTTCTGTGGGCAGAAGTTCAAAAGAGCTGTTAGCTCAGAACAAGCCCTCTTTCCCCTCCCTCCCCCTCATGTATCTCTGATTCACTTCTTTATACAGTTTGGGTCTTTGATCTGCAGAGACCCTGAATAGGTAATCAGCCAGACAATGGTCCCCTCCTCAGGGCGAAGTTTCAGAAGGTTGGATCTTTGCATAACCAGAGGTGGTGGGAACTGCACTTAACTTCATTTATCTGGTGCATTGTTTAAAATAGTCCTTTGAAGCACATAACAATTCCCAAGGTTTACACTGGTCACATCTCCCCCTAGAGAATCCCACAAGAATACATACACTTTGCATTTTTAATACAACAAATTCCTAAAATACTTAAACTTCATTGAATTAATCTTAATTGAATTCAGTAAGGTTTGTCCCGGATATTGCAGGAAATTGCCACATCTATCACCGTGATTATCTAGTCTGATATCCTGTATAACACAGGCCAAAGAACTTCCCCACAATAATTCCTGGAGCATATCTTTTAGAAAAACACCTAATCTTGATGGATCCTCCATCACTAACCATTTTTAAAATCATGACCTTGGGTAAATTGTTCCAATGGTTAATTACCCTCACTGTCAAAAATATACACCTTATTTTCAGTCTGAATTTGTCTAGCTTCAAGCCATTAGATCATGTACCTTTCTCTGCTAGATTGAAGAGTCCGCTATTAAACATTTGTTCCCCATTACTTACTCTAATCAAGTCACCTCTTAGATGAGATGAGCTCCTTGAGTCTGTCACTATAAGGCAGGTTTTCTAATCTGTTAATCATTCTCATGGCTCATCTCTGAACCCATTGCAAGATTCTTCTTGAATTGTGGTCACCAGAACAAGACACAGTATTCCAGCAGTGGTCGCACCAGCTCCAGATACATAGCAAATTAATCTCTCTACTCCTACTCGTGATTCCCCTGTGTATGCATCCCAGGATCACATTAGCCCTTTTGGTTACAGCATCGTACTGGGACTTATGTTTCAGCTGATTATCCACTTTGACCCCCAAATCTTTTTCAGAGTTATTTCTTCCTAGGAGAGAGTCCCCCATCCTGTAAGTATGGCCTACTTTGTTCCTAGATGTGTACATTTACATTTAACTGTATTAATATGCATATTGTTTGCTTGCATCCAGTTTACCACGCAATCCAGATTGCTCTGTATTAATGACCTGTCCTCTTCAATATTTTAACTCCTCCCTCCCCCGTTTGCGGGTCATCTGCAAACTTTATCAGTGATGATTTCATGTTTTCTTCCAGGTCACTGATTAAAAAAATTAAGTAGTGGAGGGTCAAAAACAGATCCCTGTAGGACCCCGCTAGAAACAGGTCTGCTCAGTGATTATTGCCCATTTACAGTTACATTTTGAGACATATCAGTTAGCCAAGCTTTTAATCCATTTAATGTGTGCCCTGTTAATTTTATATTCATTCTAGTTTTTAATAAAAATAGTCATGGGTGCCAAGTCAAGCATCTTACCAAAGGCTACGTGTATTACATCAACACTATTATCTTTATCAATCAAACTTGTCATTTCATTAAAAAAATGGTTAGTTTGGTAGGCTCTATTTTTCATAAACTCATGGGTGTTTGGCATTAAGTGATTGCTTTCCTTTAAGTCTTTATTAGTTGAGTCCCTTATCCGCAACTCCATTATCTTTCCTGGAATCGATATCCGACTGACAGGCCTATAATTACCTAGGTCATCCCATTTACCCTTTTAAAACACTGGAATAACATAAGCTTTCTTCCAGTCTTCTGCAACTATCCCAGTGTTCCAAGTCTTATTGAAAATCAACTTTTAATGGTTCAGCAAGCTCCTTGGCCTGCTCTCTTAAAACTCTTGGATGCAAGTTATCTGGATGTGCTGATTTAAAAATATGTAACTTTAGTATTTGCTGTTTAACATCCTTCTGAGATATTAGTGGAATGAAAAGTGTTCACATATGATGAGACTACATCATCTGTTTTTTTTCAAATAACGAGAAGAAATATTTATTGAAAATTTGGCTGCCTTTTCTGAAATATTATTGATGATGCTATCATTTTTATGTGGTAGTGGACCAATACCATTGTTAGGATACCTTTTGTTCCTAATATACTTTAAAAACCTACTCCTTATTGGCCACAGATTTCTCCTTGTGTCCCTTTGCTTCCCTTATCAAATTTCTACAACTCCTAGCTTCTGATTTGTATTTGTTACTATCAACTTCCCCTTTCTTCTGTTGTTCTCTCTCTCTATTTTTATAGCTGCCTTCACTTCTTCCCTAAACCAGATTATTTTTTTAACCAGTATGGTCGTCTTCCTTGATTGTGGCTTTTTGGGCATCTACTAAAGTGTTCTTAAATGTCTCCCAATTAGTATTCACATTTTATTTCTGATTAAATTCTTCCTCCTGACTGATTTGGCTCATGATTGTTTTCAGCTTTCTGGCTCATTTAAAGAACCAAGTATATATGTTCCTGATTTTGACTTTATTCTGTTTGGACATTATAAATGTGATCCAGTCATGATAACTTGTCCCTAAGGTATCATTAAAGAGTTGCCGATCACAGAGATAAAAATTATCTGTCAAGACTAATCTTATGAAGTACAACAGGGTCTCTAATGACACAAATAGCCAAGACCTCTATTTGACATCTCCACTAAAAGATACTGACTGACAATCCATAGCAACCCTTTCAAAATATTAACTAATCCATTTTAAATATCAGTTGCAAAATAAAAATAAAAAGTGTAGACATTCTACCTTAAAGAATAATGCCAAGTTTCTTTACAAAAAAAAAGAAAAAAAGAAAAATTCTCTTAATACCATCCTGCTTTTAAAACACCACACTTTTGCACAGATCATCCATACACTCCGATTGTTAGCCCTTTATTTTAATGAGAACTCTGTACTTTTTAAAGGAAGTTAAGGAGGGTGATGGAGAAATGATCTTAAATAATTAAATATATTTTTCCTCTGCCTTCAAACAAAATTATTTAAATTGTTCATCCCTCCTCCCCCCTCAAATTTATATTTCCTCTACAGTTATTTCTCTTGAGGGAATTTTAAAGTGAGGATCTAGACCCCTGAAAATAAGTTTATAAGAGAAGTACTGAAGGTTCCTTCATCTTCCAAATGTGTGCAGTTTCTCAAGGGTTATCTTTCTTATTCACACCGAACACAAGTGAATTGCTTGTTTCCTGAGGTTGTTTGGGGGGTATCTAGATAAATCCCTTCTGGTCAAAGATTTATCGATACAATTCTTTAGGAGCTGTTTCAAAAAAGTATCTTCAAAAAGTCTGTCCGTGTTCTCCCTCTCTCCCCCCCTCCCCCGCACAGTTGGTTCCACAGAGGAGCTTGGGCTGAAGGTGAAGCTGGGTGCAGAATGGGGGATGGGGTAGGAGCTAGGTCTAGAGGCGGAGCAGGCCTGGGCGCGGAGAGGGAATGAGGGCAGAGCTGGGCTTGGCGGGGGAGAGACCTGGGGGCAGTGTGTGGCTGGGTGGCAGTCCCTCCCTCCCCCTCATGTGGGCTGCCCCAGGCCCCACTGCGCTCCCCCCCCCCATCGTTCCCCCATACCCATCTAAGGGGGTGCGACCCACAGTTTGGGGATCGCTGCATTACAGAGACAGTGGGTGAAGTAATGTCTTTTATTGGACCAACTTCTGTTGGTGAAAGAGACAAGTTTTCAAGCTTACATAGAGATCTTCAGCTCTCTAAGCTTGAAAGCTTGTCTTTCACCAAGAGAACGTGGTCCAATGGAAGATATTACCTCACCCACCTTCTCACTCCAATATCCTCAGACCAGTGTTACCTGAACACTGTCAGCAAATCAATAGTCTGTTGTTGACCAAAAAGGAAAAACTCTCTTGTTAGAGCTGTTCATAAAGTTTTATATTGAACTCCAATAAAAATAGAGTTTAAGAGAAGAAAGTATCTTCATGGTAGTTAGATGAAACAAGTTCTTAAACTGAATTTTTGGTGTTATGAAAAGGAGCTGGCATGGGAATTTTCAAATAGAGAGAACTAAAACTTGCTGCAAGTGATATTTATACTTCTTAAAGCTCTTCTTAAAACTCCCTCTTTTGGATGTCATCCTTTTTGTCACACCTCCTTTGGTAGGTTGCTGTAGTGCCTGAATGATGGATATGTCTACTTTCCTGTTTGTCGCGTTGTTTTATTTCTAATTTATTTGTCTTTTTTACTCCTTTGCTGCAGTATCCCTTGCTCCTCCTCCTCCTTCCATCCTACAGGTAACTCCACAGTTACCACTGATGGGATTTGTGGCCAGAGTTCAAGAAAATAGTAAGTTTACTTCGTCCTTCTGCTATGATTGGGCATTGGGTCTGGCCTTCGTTTCATGTGTGGAAAAACCTCAGGTGTACGTAGCCAGAATTCTGCTTTTTAATACTTTGCTTTGTTTGGTGAATTTCAAATAAAACAGGAAAAAAACAAACAAGATGAAAAATATTTGTCAAGGGAATCTAATCCTTTCTCCTCCCCAACTTAGTGTCTTAGTGTATTTCTGTTCCTAAGTTCTAGCGTTAGGTCCCCATGAAACTAGTTAGGAAGCTCTTGAAGAGAGACCACTACTTTTAATCTGCAACTGTAGTTCTAGAGGGTGTTTCTTGTTGATCTTGCTGCTTCTTTTTAGTTTCAGATACTCCCCCTCCTCCTCCACCTGTAGATGAGCCAGTCTTTGATGAGTCCCCACCTCCACCTCCACCCCCAGAAGATTATGAAGAGGAGGAGGCAGCTGTGGTGGAGTACAGTGATCCTTATGCTGAAGAGGACCCTCCATGGGCACCAAGGACCTATTTAGAAAAGGGTAGGTTCAGAGAGAGAGATGGTGGTATCGTCAATTCTACAGTCTTTTGCTAAAAACCCTAACTTCAGAATTTACATGCGTTAAATGAGATTCTTTCAATAGGTCTGTTGTTTGCTTTGGATAATCAAGCTTTTATATCATTAATCTGCAATTCCTAAAGAAGTCACTTTGTCACCGTCCTGTCAGTCCATGTAATTTCTGATTGTAGAGATTTGGTCTGGCTGGCGAATTGATTCCCTTCAGTTGAATCGCAATGGTTTTTTTATTCAGATGAATTCTCTAGGATGCCACCATGTGTCTAGTAGTATCAGTTGTTGCTGTGTATGACAGGTTTCTTGCACATTGCTTTGCTAACACAATACTGCATATTAAGAGTATGCTATTGTGTGGTATCCCAGCTGATTTCTCCCCTCTTCCCATTGTACTGAGATGGTGCCTGTAAAGTACATTCTGCAAGGTTATCAGGAACATAGGACAGGGAATGGACTTCCTGGGTCATTAAGTCCAGTCCCCTGCTTTCATGGGAAAACCATCATATTATCCTGTTCATAAATTTATCAAGCTCATTCTTAAAACTAGTTTTAGGTTGCCCATCCCCACTGCTCCCATTGGAAGGTTTTCCAGACAGTCACTTCTCATAGTTAGAAACCTTCTAATTTCCAGCCTGAATTTATTCATGGCCAATTATACTCATTTGTTTTTGTTACCAACGTAGGCCTTTAGCTTAAATAGCTTTTCTTCCTCGTTCCTGCCCCTTGATGTGTTTGTGTTTGAGTCACAGTAATGATGCTATAGTTAAGGCTGCAACTGGCTTTCTATTATAACTCCAGTTTTAACCTCTCCTTGATCCCTTAAAAAAAGAGACCTGTCTGAAATTTTGCATGTTACTTTGACAGAATCGTGTTTAGGAAAAGTTTCAGGTTTAAGCAAAGTATGTTTGAGAAGTGAGACTTTGGAAGGCAAGTACCAGGCAAGCTCCTTGTGCCACATAGCTGGCATTAGCCTTATACCCAGACTTAGACGTCTGTCCAGATCAAGACCTTTCAAGCTATGCTGGCTTTGTCAGGTCACCTTCTTCCTTGAGGTAGCTTCTGTATTTTCCCTCAAGCAGTATGCAACCCCCCATTCTCCTGAGGGCTACTGGATTTCGTGAACCTTTAGAAAGCAGTGCTTCTCTCTCAACAACAAATGTTCAGACATGAGGTTATAAAAGGGCTGTCTGGTGCCAACCACCCCCGTTCATTCCATTCTGTGGTTAGCTGTGTGTGTAGGAACTTTCTCTTGATGGCTGCAGGGGTTTGTGGAGATTTTTATTCACGTCTCCCCTAAGGGTTGTTAGATGGTCGGTGGTTAGTAAGTGTTGGATAGCTTGTGGCTGTTGCACCATGGACGTTGATGTTGGCTGACCAGACCTCCAGAGACAAGGGCAGATTTTAGTAGTCTGTGCACATTGTACTTGTTGGCTTTGTCTTGGGGATCCAGCTAAGTGTGGAAAAGCTTAGCTCTTTCCTCTCCTACACTTTCCGGAAGACATCTGTTCCCACGGTTCCTAGTGCAGTGTGTGGCACTGCTGTGGTGACAGCACTGACCTTGCCTTACATTAAAATGTCCATGTTAAGTGATTTTGGCATGCTGATGACACACATCAGAAAGGTAATGGTGACTTTCAAAAGCTTATCTCTCTGCCAAACTTAAATGGGAATTCATGGGACAAAGAAAAGGCACTTCCCTGCCCCTAGTGTTTTATCCTTGCCAAATTTTGAAGGCCTCTTGAAAGCGATGAAGTTAGAGCTTCTCACAAAAATAGTTTTAAGAATCTCAGAACAAAAAGTGTGTGTGTGTGTGTGTGTGTGTGTGTGTGAAGCTTAAATTCCATCTTGACTGGGTATCTTTTTTGGGAATTAGTTATACTAAATTTCTTTCACAGGCTAAAAATATGGTTAATATAGAACAGGGGTAGGCAACCTGTGGCACATGTGTTGAAGGTGGCACGCAAGCTGATTTTCAGTGGCACTCACACTGCCCAGGTCCTGGCTACCGGTCCAGGGGGCTCTGCATTTTAATTTAATTTTAAATGAAGCTTCTTAAACATTTTAAAAACCTTATTTACTTTATATACAACAATAGTTCAGTTATATATTATAGACTTAGAGAAAGAGACCTTCTAAAAATGTTAAAATGTATGACTGGCATGTGAAACCTTAAATTAGAGTGAATAAATGAAGATTCGGCACACCACTTCTGAAAGGTTGCCGACCCCTGATATAGAGTGAAAATTCCTGTATTACTGCCACTGAAAACTTTTCTGCAAGAAATCCTGGTTCCAGTTGTGAAGCAGAGCAGTGTGCCCAATAAGAGATATAAAATGTAGCACAGCAAGACTTCCCAACTGTGGTAGTGAATGTTACACTTCAACAACATTCACACTTAGGGTTGCCAACTTTCTACTCACACAAAACCGAACACCGTTGCCTTGTGCCCTGCTCCTTCTCCGAGGCCTTGCCCCCCGCTCACTCCATCCCCCCTCCCTCTGTCCCCATCGTCACTCACTCACTCATTTTTACCAGGCTGGGGCAGGCGGTTGGGGTGTGTGTGTGTGTGGGCTATGGCTGGGGGTGCAGGCTCTGGGGTGGGGCTGGGATGAGGGGTTTGGGGTGCAGGAGGGTGCTCCGGGCTGGGATTGAGGGGTTCAGAGGGCGGGAGGGGGATCAGGGGGTTGGGACATGGGAGGGGGTCAGGGGTGCAGGCTCCGGGCGGCACTTACCTCAAGCAGCTCCTGGAAGCACCAGCATGTCCCCCTCCCATCCCCAACTCCTACGTAGAGGAGTAGCCAGGCGGCTCTGCACACTGCTGTCTGCAGGCACCGACCCCGCAGTTTCCATTGGCCACAGTTCCCGGCCAATGGGAGCTGCAGATTCGGCGCTTGTGGTAGACGGCAGCGCGCTGAGACCCCTGGCTGCCCCTATGCGTTGAAGCCAGTGGGGGGATATGCCGCTGCTTCTGGGAGCCACGCAGAGCCACGGCAGGCAGGGAGCCTGCCTTGTCACGCTATGCTGCTGACCAGACTTAACCTCCCGGTCAGCGGTGCTCTCCGGAGCCCCCAGGGTCCCTTTTTGACTGGGCGTTCTGGTCAAAAACCAGACACCTGGCAACACTATTCACACTGCACCAAGAGAAAAAATTAATGCATGCAAGAAAAATAAATTCAGTACAGTAGCTGGGGAAAAAATGAAGATTGTGAAGAAGCAACCTCCGCCAGTCCCAGCAAACTGCAAAACTGCTGTCTCTTTTCCTACCTAGTTGCCATAAGTGTGGTTCACGAAACACACAGACTTCTCCGGCAGGCTGAGACAACTTGTCAGACAAAATATTTGACTTGCAGGATATTTGCATGAATTGCTACACCTAGTGACCTTTCCATGGGTCTGATTGACATCGTTCTATTGATGTCCACAGACTCTTTTGTTTGCTTCAGCTTATTCCTGTCAAGGAGGCTTATTTCCATGAGGGAGGGCAGGAAAATAGCTATTGATACAAAGCATTACTGTCGCAGTGGAGTGTTCTGGAATGGGGATGCTGATTATTGACCTTGGTGCACCTGACATGGACTGATCAGCTTTTTCTGGAAGGTTAAATCTCTCCATTGCACTTCTTTCTGTGAGAATAGGCGGCATGTTTTCTTCAGGCTAGGACCAGTACAGGTCACTTTGGTAAGTCTTTACCCTTGTTGATTAGATTCATTGCTTCACTAACATTTGCTTTTTGCTATTGTACCTTGAGTAGTATTCAGGGGGCTCAGCATTCACTCTGTTTCTGTTGCTTGCTGACACTGCTTATGCTGCGAGGCATTTTCTGTTGTGTGACGCTTACTGCCCTGTTACTGTGTTCATAAGGAACAGTGAGTCTCAAATATTTCCTGAGGAGAACTTTCCACGTGTGAGACTTCTCACTTTTTTGGCTGTTATGGTATTTCTTAACTCCAAATACACTTGTAGAGAGCAATCTTCACTAAAGTTCTGGTAGCCTTGTCACCTGGACCTCAGGAAAACGTCACTGGTCTTTAATCCAGTGAAGAATAAAGGAGACTGCAACTGTTTGTTGTGTTACTAATGCAGGGTTTTAAAGAAGTGGGACATAGTTGCTAGTTAGAGTCGGACATAAGGTTCAAAGCTGGTGGGCGGGCTGATGTTGAAGTGCAGCTAATGGACAAAAACTGCTGAGTATTATATCTGCTTACTTGTGGAGCAAAGACTGCTTTTTTCTGATTACTCCCGTTCGCGGTTGTGGCTCTTCAGTACTGTGGGAAAGTGAACTAGATTCTGTTCTGCGTCAGCAGAATTAACTGCATTCCGGTTGCAGGGCGAATATCTGCCCTCGGTTCCAGTTGGGCCACCCCATTGTTTTCAGCCTGGTGGCCCGGGTTTAACTGGGGGCACTCACTGAATCGTTTTGCGATGGATACACGCAAATAACTTTCATGTCCCAGGGCGAATTTGCAGTGCCAGCTCTTAGGGGAGGAAAAACCTCTTACGTATGAATTGAGCACATTTTGATATGGAAGTCAGAACCATAATGAACATGACTCCCCATGAAGTCATTTTATTCTGAGAGATTTGGGCACCAAGAAGTTAAATATTTGAGGAGGTGAGTGGTTCCTGGATGAAGCACTGATATCCTCAGATGAAAGGAGCCATGTAGGTAGGACTAGACAGACAAAGGCTAAAGAAGTCAAATGGGTAAGCCTAAGATGGCAGCAAGACAACTATTCATCAGCCTTCAGAGTGACTCTTCCAAATCTCTTCTGAATGGCAATGTCAGGATTATGCACATTCCCGTATGAAACAGGGTAAATGGGGAACTGCTGGTTTGTAAATGATTTCCATTGTGAAGGAATTTGATTCTTCCCTCCTCCCACCCATTAGCTTTCTGCAGAAGGCAGGTTCCTTTTGCTCCACAATGGCAGCACCCAGACGAGCCCTCCAGCGCTTATTCTCAGATGC